AAGGATATTAAGATACTATTGTTCAATGGATTGCCTTGTAAATCAAGAATTTCTAGACTCCTCAACTGAAAAAGCTTCTCAAAACCGATCGAAGAGAACGCTTAGCAATTAAAGAGAAAGAAGAAGAACATCAAGATGTCAGATTTTGTTAAAAGAAAGAGTATACCAATTTTCACTAGAACAAGGATGAAGAAGAGATGAACAATCATACCATTAGCATGATCAAATGCTTGGAAGTTGTTACCACCTAGATTTAGAGACCTAAGAGATGAAATCTCACTTAAAGATGGCAAAATGCTGTTATTGAACAAATTTCCTTCCAAGCTGAGGATTTCCAAATTACTCAACTTCTTTGAAAGCTTGACAAAACCTGCAAACATATCATATGAATTGTAATTTTGGTTCAATTAAAATAGCGAATAAATAGACATGGGAGAATAAGAATGAAACGAACATACTTAGGTACATATCGAGATGATCACGATAACCACAAAATTAAGTTGGAAGATAGATATAAACCTTCATTTTCAGTGCAACCAGCTATCCCATTTCCAGCCAAATAGAGACTCCTCAATTCTTCAAAAGGAAGAAACAAAGATGCATTCAAATACATGAGATTCTCCAATTCCATAGGATCAAACGTGGGATTCCAATAGCGAGGTAGAGACATGTCACTATTAGATTCTTGGAACCTTGCGAAATTGAGACTGAGTGTTATGACTCGTCCAGTGCTAGAGTTGCACTTAACCCCCTCCCATTGGCAACAATCTGAATTTTCCTCTCCTTTCACCCACCAATTTTTTGGACTCCAAGGATTATTGAAAAACGCCTTGAGTTGGAGGAGAGCAGTTCTCTCATGGTCCCAACACCCTTGGCACCACTGCTCTTCTAATAAGAGGAGTGTAAGTAGCACATACATCAAGCATTTCGACTTCATCAAAATATACTTAGGTCAACCGCCAAGCACAGCTATTGTTTCCGTGCCACCGCCAGAAATTCACCTTAGACCTTTATATACAAAAGTAAGCAAGTATTCCACAACTCCGTGTTTTGTCATAATTTGGTCCTGCCCATTGTTAATTCAACTCAACAGTTACCATAACTCCGTGTTATGGCATAACAAATTTTTTTGAGTGGGTCTCACATATTTGCATAGTAAATCCATTTATGAAAAAATTTTAAAAAAAATTGAGGCCCACGTACATGCCACATTAATTTTTAATGGTGCGTCCCACAAAATTTCCTCATGAAAAAATTTAAGAGCATTTTGAGATTTTTGAAAGTTTTAAGATTATTAAGAGCTCAAATTAAAAGTCTAAAGAATATTTTTGTTATTTAACCAATCAAAGTCAACAAGGTTAGTAATAGATCTATTATCGTACCTAACAGTTTCCATCCAGTTAAGATCTTGTTTGAGAATCATGACAACTTTAAGACCTTAATCGAGTGTGATAAAATTTTGGAACCTCAATTGTGAATTTACTGTAAGTTTGGGACCTTATCCATTACTTTAGCCTTATTTGTATCCTTTTTCTTTAATTCTTTATTTCGTTAAAAAATGATTGTAACAAATTGATTCTTATTGAAATGAGATTATCAAGAGAAGGAGGAATTTATACCTTCATTACAATAAATGGGTTAATTATAACGGAAAAAAAAATCATATGGCAATTGAAATTATTGGCTTTGGGGCTTTGATGTACTAGCATTTTTTTGTACGAAGTAATATATATACGAGATAGACCTTGACTTTCTTTTTTGACAGTTAAATGTGTTTTTAGAGTAGTTTTTACACATTTCAAAACTAATTCCTCAATAAGTGATTTTTCATTTTCTATGTGCATTTATCTCAAACCATAAATATGTTATATGCACATTTTAAAATCTTAAATCTTTATGTGAATCAACTCCAAAGTACAAGTAGCTAAATTGTAATTTTCCCTATGCCACTTCATTTAAACACATTTAACTCTATTGCTATGGGAGAAGGTTGTGACACAACAATGTTAAAAAATAAAAGTCATAAATAATTATCATTCATTGTTAATAATAATAATCTCTAAGAGGTTTTGTGTTTAAGTGACATGATATGCAGGTAAGTTAAGTTAAAGAGTTTGAGAAGATTGCAAAATCAAAAAGGAAAAATGTTAATGATAAAAATTAAAGTTTATGTTTGGATTGAAAAAAATTTCTAAGATGGATTTTAAAATAAGGAAGAATTTCAATTATTTTGTGAAAAATAGTTTGATTTTAGTATAATTAAAATAATACCGTAAAGTGATTTTTTGAATACAATCGTTGGAATTCTTCTCCCCTTCATGAAGCATAGCCAATTGATCTTGCTAACTTGAATATAATCAATAAAAAGTCTGGACATCAGACTATAGTTATACCGGTGGGATTATGAATGTGGGATTATGAATATGTGTTAGCTGGTTCTATCTATGATACCTGTATGCAATACAATTTGGGGTCTCAGGCATTTGAGGGAGAGATAGCTGGTCTCCTAATTTTCTTGTTATTTTGTGAACTATTCGGAATTACAAGAATATTATTTTCCCAAAAAAAGGGTTGTTTTGAAAAGAAGTTATTTAATTTTATTCGAAGTAGAGACTTTATTTTAAATTCACAGACTGATGTTTTAACCCATTGCATTTCCCTTGAAATACGGTACACAAGCGATTTTATCATTAGAACTAACAATGATAATGTGTTTAGTGGAAGAGATTGCAAGTTAGTCAGGGTCTCCCACTAATACGCAGGTAAAAAGGCAACAACGTCTAAGTCTTCCACTAACAATCCAAGCAATGACTCCTAATATTTTTTTCTTGTAGCTAGGCCGATAGCACTAACACAATTTAATAAGAGAAATGCAACAATGTCTAAGTCTTCTTTTAGGCCTGTGATATTATTATCATTATTCTTTTAATGACAAATGTTA